TTTGGACCTTGCATGAAATCCTCATTGAGATGGTAGTCTCCATACACAGCAACAAAATGCCAGCAAGTCCTCTCGAACACCACTAACTGGGGCTTTAATCACTTCAATTAGCTACCCACCTCCAAACAGGAGACAGTTGATTCTACTCTTTGCCCCATGAGAAAGTTTCCTAGGGATGAGAATGGATTGAAAACTGTGGCAACACAGCTCTCCCCTATTTTCCCGTTTCCTCTGACTCCATCCAAATTTGACATAGTATTTTCATGTTTTAAAGTTTATCTGTATACATCAACGAGATCCTCTTTGAAGAGGATGAAATCACAGAGGTAAAACTGAGAATGTGCACTTCAGCTGCAGTCCATACATCCCAAGTTCCTTCAATAAAGGGTATAGAAATCCAAATAAACCAGAAATATTTTTGTGCTTCCCATACAGAAGTTATATATTATTGCAAAAGGATAAAAGTCGGAGAAGGAAATTGCACTCATATGTTTCACAAAATGTTTCCCCTTAAAAGCGGATTCCATATTTGAAATTTCTATCTCTATTTCAAGTTATCGCTCCACCATGTTAAAATTGAGATCCATTTAGCAGAGAGTTGGATAATCATGTTTTATTTTTGTTGTAGCGGTAAACATAAGCACAGGAACTTGATTGCTAATGAAAATTGTTATTTTTGGAAGGCAGCCATTTAATTAAAGGAAATGTTTGCCTTATGTCAAAGGATGTATCAGTGTGCATCAGTATTTGCAAAATGGCAAAACAAGCTTGAGGTCATAGCTCCAGATTATCATCTGCCATCTGGCCATACAATGAACTGAGTAGGAAATAATGAAAGCTACTTAGGTCTGCATAAGTAATTGAGTAACTTACGCCTCCTATGCAAATAATAATAAAGAGTTGTTGAAGATCCTTGGTTACAAGCCAGCGTTGCTGTTTGGAGTGCTATAAATAGAGAATTATGTAAAAAGCCACAAAGAACAGATTTCATAACAGAGGTTCTGTCATAAATTCAAATGCCACAACCACAAATACTTGTAATATGAAGCTTTAGAATTTTATACACATGTTTATCATTTAACAGCAATTATCACTCAATGATATCCTGCTTATTTAATCAAATATCACTTCTCTGCAGCTAAATGATTGTCAAACTAGAGCAGTGAGAAATGTTTACCATCAAACACAGGCATATATTGTTTTATATTCTGTCTTTATGTAGACTGTTCATGTCAATATTGCTGCATGCAACATTTTTGACTGGGGTGAAAGCTTACATCCGGTGCTTTGTCCATGACTTTGTGCAGATGTTCATACCTAAGATAAGTTATAGCCATGTATAGTTTGGGAGATGGTTCATAGTGTACCATTATACTTGGAAAAGGATTCTAAGTTTATAACAGATCAATATGTGAGACCATTGCAATCAACTGAAGCACCCTACATAGCTGACAATGAATGACCATGATTTTTGTTGTTTAGGGTATCAAGGGATATGAGGCAAAGCAGCTAAATGGAATTGATGTCTAAATTAGCAATAATTTATCTGAGTCAAAGAGTAGACCTGAGGAAATGGAGAGCCAACCCTTGTTCCTGTGTGGCTAAGAGAAGTGGGAATTAATTTTAACTTTGGCTAAGTGTGCAAAATGGGCAATATCTCATATTGGGCCCATTCCACACCTGCATGACTTTCTTGCTACTTGAAATCAAATGCATAGTGTGCAGCCAATCCAATTTCAATAATGTTTACACCTTCGCTCCATGTTAATTGTATACCCCTTTACTGATTTTAAAATCACTTGTTTCATAATTTCTTTACGAGATTTGAATCTCACATCAGAGGCTCAGACGTGAGAGTAATTGTGAAGCTAACAGACATAATGGAATAATGACCCTTTTTCTGATGAAGGGTCTAGGCCCGAAACGTCAGCCTTTCTGCTCCTATGATGTTGCTTGGCCTGCTGTGTTCATCCAGCCCTGCACCTTGTTGTCTCTATAATGGAATAATCATTGTTTTGTGCATTTGGATAGTTTTGCTAGAGCAGTTTAAGGGAATCGCCAATCAGATCAGTGCAATCTGAGTCCATGCATTAATGCATTTTATTCTTCAAGGACATTGAATACTTCAAGAATGAATCTTATTTCCGTGTCCCACACACCCTGTATGCTTCCCTGGTATGTGAAAACCATTTTGAAAACTTGCAACTCCTCAATCAAAGGCAGCTTGAGTTGGGTAAACAGAAAAAGAAAATGACAGCAAGCATAAGAGAGAGAATGAGAAAAGGGGGTGAGAGAGCTAGAGAGAGAGCTAAGACCAGAATCAGAGCCACAGAAAGCCAGAGCTCAGCGTATGCCCTCAATCTTTCACAGGCTTTGTGACCCCTTTCTGCAGAGATAATGAGTGAATGATCAGTTTCTCCTGGTGGGTCAACTCTGCACTTTCTGTACTGCAGAGAATGTCTCCTCCTACAGGCTAACCATCACATTCTGAACCTTGCCAAGCCAAGCACAGTGCAAGATTCTGCCACTTGGCAATTGTGGTTGTGGAGACCACTCACCCACTCTTCTGTCAGTCGACCCCCATGTCCATCAAGTCCCTACTCTCCCAAAGTAGAGTACACACACCGACAGTTCAGATTCTCATTCACCTTCACAGCATGTAAAAGGTCATTTATTATTTTTTGAGATAACAAGGTGTAGAGCTGGATGAACACAGCAGGCCAAGCAGCATCAGAGGAGCAGGAAAGCTGACGTTTTGGATCTGGACCCTTTATTGTTTTTTTTCCAATGATGTGACCAAGTCCTCCAAACAGGCTTCTGTTTGTCAGATGAGGATTATACCTTTCACTATGCTGCCAGAGGAGAACCTCGATACCTTTTGGTGACAGGCTAGAGGACAGAATGAAGGAGCGAGTCATGAAACTGCTGGGCCTACCTGTTATTACTGATGTTTGGATGATATCACTGCCTTTCCTTGCAATGTGTGAACATTTGCACACAGTTACCATTGAGTTTGAGTGCTCCTGAGTCACCGGCTCTGTCAGGTTTATCCTCCTGTCTGTCTCAGGGATACAACGTATGTCTGTGGATTGCACTTTGTCCTTCACTACCCTGCGCTGCAGATAGCTGCTATCATTTTAACCCTGCCCTCCCACATTGGCAGCTGCTTCTGCTCTTGTGCCCACCCTACAGCTTCTTTCCAATTGCTTAGTGAGGACCTTCCATGTGGTGTTCAGCTGCCAATTGGCCAGCCAGCACATGATTGTTGTGGGACCATGGTATTGGACATATACAGACAAATAGCCAATTCTGCACACAACACCCACACCCCCACCATAAAGCTCAACCCATAAATCTACCCCAGCAATGGAAGATGGAAACTGCTGCTGGCACAAGGAAGATATGGACAGACATTACCCAGGAGAAAAGCAAAAGATGCTGCTGGACCAATTCAGAGAGCTGGTAGCTCTGAAGCCCCAGCAATGCCATTATGAGAGGGTGTCACGAGACTTTGAGCCTGATGAAACTTACAATTAAGATTAAAGGGAAAAATGCAGGACAGCTGAACCTCCTCCAGAGCTAGGGAATGGGGGTGTGGGAAAGGGATGATTGCCACTGCTATCTCCAGCCTCTCTCTTTGGAAGCAGGCCATTTGGCCCATCGAGTCCACACCAACCCTCCAAAGACCCACCCCTACACCATATTCCCCACCATGGGCAATTTAGCATGGCCAATCCACCCTACCTACACATCTTTGGACTGTAGGAGGAAACCCACGCAGACATGAGAAGAATGTGCAAACTCCACACAGACAGTCTGCACCTGAGGCTGGAATTGAACCCAGGTCCCTGGCACTGTGAGGCAGCCGTGCGAACCACTGAGCCACCATGTCGCCAGTTGGCTCCCTGAAGCTGGCAACCTCTAATGTGGTCATGTACCATTAGCAAAATGTCAGTGATCCCATTAAGTGTGCAAATTGGCAATTTACCTCCTTGTTTTGGGCTGCTGTTATGCATATGGTTCCACTTCTGGGAAAATAACCAGGATTGAGCCATTCTGGGGTGGATTCCCACTTTTTTCCTGAGGTCCCTTTCCCAGTCTGTCAGTTGCATGTCGATGAAAGACTGATGGGTTTACTAACCTCCTAAATGGTTCTATCATCCTTTGGTCAGTCAGTCCTTTGAGCTATTGGTAGGAGGTTACTCTGTGAGATTCTGACTTGGAGGTGTTGCATTGAGGGCACCTAAAGTTATCACTGCTGTAAGCATGATACCGACTTGACTGAGCATTTTTAGAATGCATGTTTTGAAGCAATTAAACCATTTAGGGAGGTAATGGGCTAAGTGGTATTATCACTAGTCTATTCATTCAGAGACTCCAAGTAAATTTCTGGGGACCTGGGTTTGAATTCTGCCATGGCAGATGGTGGAATTTGAATTCTGTTAATATCTGGAATTAAGTGTCTAATGATAACCATGAAACCAGTGTTGATAGTCAGGAAAAACACATCTGCTTCACTAATATCCTTTTGGGAGCTGTCCTTACCTGGTCTGGTCTACACATGACTCCAGACCCACAGCAATGTGGTCAACACTTAACTGCCCTCTGGGCAATTGGGGATGGGTAACAATAATTGGTGTGGATTAGTGATGGCCATATCCCATGAATGAATAAAAGTTAGAAGAACTTGTAATAAGGTAAGTCAAGCTTACTGACTCCAGTTAGCACACTTCAGATGATATAACATGCTGAGTGTCGCAATCAACCTTAGAAATGTTTAATAAACAGTTCTCAGTGCACTCCCCTTCAGAACAAGTTTGATTTCCCTGAATTTAAATAAAGTAAGTAGGCTGAGCTAGAAGAGCTATCCAATAGGATTTGTGGACTTGTGCAAGCAAGGTAAAAACAGGAAGAAGTCCAATGAATTCCTTGCAAGCTCTGAAGCAGTTGTGAAATTTTTGGCATGCAGTGCCGTGGGTGATATTTTACAACTTTACCTGCCTCATTTCACCACAAGAACAGCACAGACCTGTTTGACCACCCCATGTAAATTTATTGTTGCTGCACTTCTTTCAAAACTGCATGAGACTAAGTCATGGTTTTAGTTCCAAGAAATGAGTGTTTATGTCAAACTTCAGAACGGTAAGTTTTAATTATGTTATCTTTAAAATATTCAATGACTCTTGTTAAAAGTAATTTAGAATACTTTCAGTTTATTGGAAGAGTAAAATCTTTTTAAGAACTGTCAAACATATCCTGCAGCTACAGATTCCACCATAGCTACAAAGTGACAATTGCTTTAAGTGGTTGAAAACAAAAAGGAGATCAATTTTGATCCTTACTTCCTTGGTAATGTACAAACAATCCCCTCACTGCTTTAAATGACTCCAGTTTAGGTACTTTGAGAGATTCAAAGAATAGGGGCAATTCGGGAGGAAACAATAAATGTTCAGAGACAACTTAAGTAACAGATGGTGAAATAAAATCACAAAAAACAAAGTGCTTCTTTCCGAATAACCCAGTGTATGGATAATTATGATTCGCCATTTTAGAATACTTCACCAACTTGTTACTTCAAGAGTATCCTTACTGGCTCTAATTTCTGGCTATGTACTAATAATGAAATGAACAGGAAACTTTTCTCATATTTCTTCAATACTGAATCCATGTCTCTGTAGTATTCTCCACCTGATATGTGAGAAGCTGCAGAATATCACATCAAATCTCATTTTAGGTTCTAACTTGTTAATTAATAGATTACAAAGCAAATAAATGATAGTATTTCAATTAACATTAAATGAAGCCTGCTCGTCGAAATAAGGCAAACAATAATGGTTCATGACCTCCAAATTAAGCTCAAATGTTGTAACTAACCTCTGTGCTTACATAGTTGTTCTTTTCCCATAATTTAGTTAATTTTTGTCGATGGATTTGACATGAAGATGACCGTGTTTATCATCTGGAATGTTTCATAGAGTTCCAGTGGATATGTGAGTGGCTGATCTGTGGCCGGAAGGCTATGCTGCAAAATAGGAAAAGATAATGCAAATATTTTAGTTGTAGAGGAGTTGCTGGCTCAGGGCTTCCTCTCTTGTGTTTTCTCTCTGCCTCTAATGTGCATTTTGAAGGACCCTGCATTTTTTAAATTTGGTTGTGTCAGGTCAAAGTCATGCTGCGTGAGCTTCTCATAGTCCCAGAGTCAATATCAAAACTCCTAACTGAAGCTTTCTGAATGCCATGTAGTTTTTTTCTTTTGAGTACTGTCTGTGTAAATGAGTCAAGCTCTTTGTGGAAGATTCATTTTAATAAGTGAGTGTCTGGCATTCTGACCACATGACCAGCCCAACTCAGTTGAGGCTGCCTCAATATGGTGTGGATGCCAAGAATGCCAGGTTGGGTGAGCATCTCACTGGTTGGTATTTTGTGCTGTCATCTGATCTTTAGAAGTTTCTAAAGGAAGCTGAAGCATTTGTGCTTCATGGCATGATGCTGCTACACAGTCCAAATTTCACACTTTTGGGGCAGAGTGGGAAGAATTTATTGCTCTATAGACTTTCAGCGAGATAGCAGGCTTACACCTCTTCTCTCCCAGCTTGATTTTCAAAGTCTGTTGAAGGCCATACTCACTTTGGCAATTCTTAAAGGTGTCTCGTTGTTCATACAGGCAGCTCAAAAAAGTGTGCTGCTGTGATAATTGCCTTATCCACTGTTTACAGGTTCTAGTCATGGATTGAGACCTTAGGCTCAAGATAGCGCTTTCCTGGAGCAGTTGATACATTGCCCCAATTCTCTTCATGCTAACGGTAAGGCTGTGGTAGTTGTCTGTATTACAGAACAAGTCTATGCTTCATTGCACATCCAGCTCCGAGGTAGCAGCAGGTATTCTGTTTTATTCAGTCATGGGACATGGGTGCTACTGGCTGGCCAGTTTTTATTTCCTATTCTTAGTTGTCGTAGAGAAGATGGTGTTGAACAGTTTTCTTGAACTGCTAAGTGCACATGAAAGTTTGTAGCAATTGGTACAACTGAGTATCAGGGAGCAGTTAAGAGTCAACTGCACGTTGCTGTGGCTCTGGAGTCATACGTTGGCCAGATCAGGTAAGGATGGCTGATTTCCTTCTCTGAAAGACATTAGTGAGCCAGATGAGTTTTTCCAACAATCAACAATGGTTTCATGGTCAGCCGTAGATTCTTAATTCCAGATTTTTAAATATTGAATTAAAATTCTAACATCTACCAAGGCAGGATTCAAACCCGGATCCCTGGAACATTTACCTGAGTTTCTGGATTAATAATCTAGCAATCACACCACTAGGCCATCACCTCCCCAAGCACTGTCATCAACAAATAGGAAATTGCAACATGTACTTAAAAACCTTGGTCCAGTCTTCCTGTGTTGTCTTCTGTTGGAGAGAGACTGTGATGTTTGTCTTTTTAACTTTGCTTCATGTTTTTTTCTGACCTGTGGTCATACTGTGTATAACTGTCATGTTACTTTTTGTTTCTTCATTTCTCTATTCTGTAACTAAGAATTGTACCTAGTTACTCCGTACTTCAGATGGTGCTGTAAGTGGCATTTGAGTACATGTGACAATAAAGCTAATTCAATTCAGTTCAATTCAATTCTTTACCCGGAGTTACCTAAAACTGAGTAGCATCTCATCTCTGCAATATCTGATTTTGATGCCACAATCACTGTAATTGAAGGCATCAGACAGCATAGGGAGAAGAGCATGCTATTGAGGGTTGGTGCTGGCCTGAAGTCCTACTAATTTCTATTAGTGGCTGGAAATGGGTCAAGAAAATTCACTATCAGCTGGGACTCCATCATGGGACTATCATACCATTTTGATCAATCTCTGAAGACAGCTGAATTTCTCCATTACCTTTCAACGGCTCACATGGCTGACCATGTGAAATGCCTTGTTCAGTTCAATAAACATGGTGTAGAGATCCATGTTCTCTTCTTTGTGTTTCATCTGGAGTTGTCTAATGGCAAAATCCATATCAGTGGTTCCTCCGCCTGTTTTATTCTGAAACTGCATTGACTCTTTGGCAGCAGATCCTGAAAGACGAAATGAACTAAGTGGTTCAGAAGGATCCTACTAAAGATTTTACCAATGTGGAGAGTAATGGGATTCCTGAATGAATGTTGCTCGGTGAACCCCTTTCCACCTGAGAATGAGAAAGGGGCATCTTTACATTCTAACAGGATGGTTCCTTGTTCTCACATAGACTGAAAAAATTCAGAGAGTTTCCTGTCCAGACATTGACCTCCAGCCTTGTAGATCTTAGATGGGGTAGAATCAGCTTGTGGAGCTTTGTGCTAGACAAGACATTTGAAAGTTTTTACCATTTCTAACACCTTGGAAAGGCCACGAAGAGAGCAGTTCATGATAACCTGTGCAGTTGTTTCTTTATTTAATTGAATGAAGATTGATTGAGGATGTACTCAAAATGCTCTTTCACTGACTTGGGGTCTTTCTCTGAGCAGTGTTGACCTGTCAGCACTGAGGATTGGTACTGATCCAGTACACTGGGGTTCACAGATTTCAGAGCATTGTAGAATCCTTTCCGATCTCTGTGGTCTGCATGTAACAGAGGTTGACCCGCTTTCTGACACAGCTAAGCATCTTGCAGTTCTCAGAGTTTGTATTGGATAATCGTGCAGATAATTTGGTAAGCAAAATGAAATAAACTATTACAGCTAATTGGCAGGTTTCAATTCACTGGGGCAAGTTCTCATCTGTAGAAAAGGAGCTTATGCAAATCTTTTCTGAAAGGTCAAGTTAATTTTTCCAGTATAGTTTAATTTACATAATTATTCATTGAAACATAAATTATGTTGGATGCTTTTAAGTAAGACAAGGGTATTTGTTAGGGTAAATTGCAGCTAAGCCAAAATGAAAGAGTTTGAGAAAAATGGAAGGATCACAAAAGAGAGAGAAACAGAAATCCCTGGTAAAACATTTAAAAACATGTCGACCTTTCAGCACTTATACACTTCCTGACCCATAAGCAGTGTTCAAATGGCATTTCAAAGGCACCCCAATCCAAGTGTTTGCGTCTCATTTCAGCTGCCATTTTTCTCAACCTTGGGGAAATCTGAAATACATCAGTTAAACCTGAAACTATCATAAGCTTCATTACTTTATTTAAATAAATTATTTGTCCCTTGAGAACAAGTTAGTTCACCTCTCACAACCAACCAAGTAAAATGACAAGATGGCACATCGGGTGCAGTTTGGAATCTAGTTCCTGATTTTAAACATTCTAACTTCCCACCACTCTTCTGCTGGATCCGTGACTCGAGTATTCTTTTAGATCGGTGTCCTAGCCCTAAGTTCTGCACTTGGTATTCATGCAGGAAGCTCTTACAAAGTTAAAATTTTAATTTCCATATGTGTTTTTCTGAATTGCACTCTTTTCAAATTGATCTAATCTTGGTCAACTTCTGAAGAAAAGTCAAGTGGTGATGGATTGTATATAAAGCCTGTTCTTATTTTTGAGCATTCAGCATGTGCTAATTTTTCTGACCAGAATGTGTACTTTGTTATTTAAATGATGCAAACATTCCCGAATACATTTAATGGACTAATGAATGCTCTTGCAAATCTCTGTACATATGAAAAGAAAAATGTATTGCAAACAACAAAATATTTGAAAGCATTGTTTAAGTGTTTGAACGTTACACATGTTGCCCCTCTTTTTTTCTCCTTCGTGGTTTTCTCAACTCTCAATTTTAATGTAATTCTCACTTAAAGATAATAGTAAGCAAAAGTCACCATAGTTCCACACTCATTACAGAGTGAAAGACTACTAGAAATGAGTTTAATTTGAGGTCACCACAACTCAGGTGAAGGGAAAGGCTTCTCTTTTTGAGAAGGCGAAATATTCATGGTGATCTCAGCCAGTACGGAATTGAACCCGAGCTGTTGGAGTTACTCGGCATTGCAAACCAGCCATTGTGTCAACTGAGCTAACTGACCTCTGATAACAATAGGCAGTGGCACATACTAAGTGTTAAAATCTAGTGCATCCAACCAGTCTATGGGTCATTGTTTCTCTGTAACTAGCAAACATGAACTAAGTATCTATTCATGGAATGCATCACTTAACAATGAACAAAACCCATCTTTATT